ATGTGGGTACAATATTATCCCATTATAAAACTGAGACATGGAGACTTTTTTAAATTTTATTTTTAATTGTTTATGCTGTTTGTTACAGTTGTTCTCACTTTCTCCCCTTTTTTCCCCTCTACCCAGCCCAATCCACTCCCCTACCTGGGCCAGTCCCCATAATGTTGTCCATGTCCATGGGTTGTGCGTAAATGTTCTCTGGTTAATCCCTTCCCCATTCTTCATCCGGTCCCCACCACCTCCTTTCCAGTAGCTGTCAGTTTGTTTTATGTATCTAAACTTCTGTTACTATTTCGTTCATTAGTTTGTTGTGTTAATTAGATTCCACTCATTGAGATCACATAGTATTTTTCTTTTACTGGCTGGCTTAATTCACTCAGCATAATTTTCTCCAGGTCCATCCATGCTGTTGCAAAATGTTAAGAGGTTCTTATTTTTTACTGCTATACAATATTCCATTTAGTAAATGTGCCACAGCTTTTTATCCACTCATCTGTTAATGGACATTTAGGCTGTTTCCAAATCTTTATTGTAAATAGTGCTGCTATAAACATAGGGGTACATGGATTTTTTGTTTGGTGTTTTGAAATTCTTGGGGTGTATCCCAGAAGTAGACTTACTGGGTCAGAAGGAAGTTCCATTTTAATTTTTAAAGATCCTCCAAATTGTTTTTCACAGTGACTGCACCAGTCTGCATTCCCACTGACAGTGCACTGGGGTTTCCTTTTCTCCACATTCTTGTCAGCATTTATTTGTTGATTTATTGATGGTAACCATTCTGACAAGTGTAAGGTGATATCTGAGCTTTTAATTTGCATTTCTCTGATAATTAGTGATGTTGAGCATTTTTTCATATGTTTACAGGCCCTCTGTATGTCCTCTTTGGAGAACTATTTATTCAGACCTTATGCCCATTTCTTAAGTGGGTTACTTGTCTTCCTGGCATTGAGTTGCATTAGTTCTTTGTGTATTTTTTTTGGAGAATGAATCCTTGTCAAATGCATCATTGGGAAAATGTTCTCCCATACAGTGGGCTCCCTAGTTGTCTTGCTGATGGTTTCTTAAGCTGTACAGAAGCTTTTCAATTAGATGTAGTCCCATTTATTTTCTCCTTTGTTTCCATGCCCTGGGGGATGTAACAGCAAACATATTTTCATGTTGAATATCTGAGAATTTACTACCTATGTTTTCTTCTACGATTTTTATGGTTTCACAACTTACATTTAAGCCTTTTATCCATCTTTTTTTTTGGTATGGTGTAAATTGGTGGTCTAGTTTCATTTTTTTTTTTGCATGTACCTGTCCAGTTTTCCTACCATTTATTGAAGAGACTCTTTGATCTGTTGTGTATGCTCTTGCCACCTTTGTCAAATATCATAGACATTTGATATTTGACATTGCTCATAGAGATAGAGGTATGAGACATGGAGACTTTAAATAACTTGCTGATGAACAGCATTGCCTTGGGATTGGATTGTGGGCAGGACATGAGTGAATGTTACAGGCACACCACAGAGATATCATGGGTTTGGTTCTAGACCACCACAGTGAAAAAGCACAATGAAGCAAGTTGTAATCTTTTTGCTGATGGAGGGTCTTGTCTTCAATTTGTAAAAAACACAATGTCTATGAAGCACAATAAAGCAAAGTGCAGTAAAGATGAGGTATGCCTGATTATATTTAAGGCCAGTAGGCCTTAATTTATGGGGAACAATCCGATGACCAAAACATAAGTTAAAAAAATTTAAGTATAAGCACAGAAAAAAATACACCTATGCTTTTATGTCTATACCTATGTCAGTATTTAGAGAAACACACACCAAACAGTAGAAATTCTTTTGGAAAAATAAAGCTTTTTTCAAATGTCATTTGTTTGGAAGCATCTAGTCTGCCTTTGTCCACTCGAAGTATAATGTGAACCATGTGTACAATTTTAAAATTTCTTGTAGAAACATGAGAAGAAACTGGTGAAATTCATAACACGTTTTGTTTGATTCATATCTAAAATATAAAATCAATACAACAAATTGAGATATTTTGCATTTTTTGAATGGAAAACTTTTGAAATCAGGTGTATTCTACGCTTACAGTATGTCTCCACTTAGATCAGCCACACGCCAAGTACACAGAAACCGCATGTGGCTGACGCCACTACATGTGCTGAATGGACGTTTACATGTAAGATTTTAAAAAAGGTAAAATATTGCTTTTAGTCTCCCACTTACTTTGCTGATGCTTTATCATAAAATACAAATTTAATATCCTGGGAGATAGTGAACAGACCTTTATATAGATATAGATAAAATATTAAGACAACGTGGTATAAATATATATACATATGTATTTTTTATGTCTTTATCCATGATATTTATCACTATATTTAGATTTTAAAAGATAAAAAAGATGCAAAGATACGAGAGCTCGAGGCCAGAGTGAGTGACCTGGAGCTGGAAAAGGTGAAGCTGGTGAACGCAGGCTCGGAGCGGCTCCGGGCCGTGAAGGACATCAAACAGGAGAGGGACCAGTTGTTAAGTGAGGTGAAAACTAGTAGGAATGAGTTAAACAGTCTTACAGGTATGTCACTTCAGTTCGGATTCTGCTAAAAAAATAGCTCTATCAGCGAAGTCCAGTGTAGATACTTGTGAAAGAATACTTCTTCGTCCATGTGACAAGTGTGGATTAACTGCTGCCCGGTGGAGCTGTTCCATTGCCCAACAATGCTTCTTTCTGAGGAGCTCTCAGATCTTGCACTTATTTAGTGTTTGTTGACTCAGTTCTCAGGGTCCAGGAAGTTCTTTCCTGAGTTTCCAAGGAAAGGGTGAGGGAAGTGGAAAACTTGAGTCCTTTAAGTCAAATATCTCGATTAGAGCGCTAATGATGAAGTAACATGTGTCAACAGACTTACGCAAATTTCTTGGAAGGACAAATTCAGAGCCATAAATTTAAAAACGAAACAATTACTGTTTACAATTAGTACGGCACAGGCTTCAGCTGTGTCTCAGATGCAGACACAGTCACCGGGTCCTGAGCACTGACTCAGCCAGGTGCTGAGCTGGGCCCCAGAAACACAGCCACAAAGTTCCAGGCGGGTGGTAGCCAGACTGCACAGGACGGGTTACAGCCCAGGGGTGAGGCACAGTGGGTGTGTGCCAGGCGCAGAAGAAGGAGAGGGTGGAGAATCAGCCTCCTACAGCAGGCGTCCTCTGTACTCAGTTTGAAGGGGAAAAGGAATTTGGCAGGTGAAAAAATAGGTGGAAGGGCTATCTAGACAGAGAGAACACTGTAGGCAAAACCAGGAAGGCATGAAATAATGTAACGTGACCTCAGGAGTATTTGTTGGAGTAACAGTGTGAAGGAATGAGGACTAAGAAATGAGGCAGAATAGATCGGCAGAACCAGACAACCTGGAGCCAGCAAAAGACACTAAGTAAGAGATTGTTGTCATCAAACTTACATTTTAGGAGAACAGTGTCAGCAAGTAAAGAGAGAAAGGCAAGACTAAAGGGACAGAGACCAACCCATTAAAGAGGATTTTTCAGGGTCTGGGGAAATGTGATGAGAACTTGAACTAAGGCAGTGGCAGTAAGAATGAGAGAAGGAAGAATTCAGAATGTTTTTGGAAATTGAATTGACAGTACTTAGTGATTGGAGGGCTGTGTCTGGGTTTTGGGTTGTAAGTTTGAATTGTTGGGAAAACAAGGATACCAAAAACAGAGAGGGAAATGGCAAGGAGGGGCAGTTTGAGGGCAAGAGGGTGAGATGCAGTCAGTATGAGGTAGTTGGTCTGGGAAGCAGCAGGGCATCCACGTGGAAATGTCTGGATAGACAGAGACCTTAGCAAAGAGGTCTTGGCCCTGTCTGCTTCCTGTATGTGTAAATCTGTCATAGATAAGGATGGATAAATAGATAGATGGTGGTTAAATCTATGGTAGTGGATATGATAACCCAAGAAAAAGATTTAAGATGAAATAGATGTAAGTCAGTTACACAGGCTGGAAAAAAGCAATATTGGAGGACCCACCCGAGCAGATTTTTTTAGAGTCAGATCCCTGATAATGTATATGTACACACATCTACGTTCTGTAACAAATGACAGTGTAACTAAATGCACTCTCTTCTCGCTCTAAAATTCTGTGATCATTAATTACTAATAAAATACATTTCATAACAATGGGATGGAAAAAGTAACTCTTATTAATTATCATGTTGTACAGAAGACTATGAAGTCTTAAAAAGGAATTTCCGAAACAAAAGCGAAGAAATGGAAACTACTACAAATAAGCTAAAAATGCAATTAAAATCTGCACAGTCTGAACTAGAACAAACAAAAAATACATTAAAGTCGATGGAAGGATCTGATGGTCATGGTATGCTGTATTAGATTTTTTTCTTTTGTTTTTAATTCCATTGATCTAGTTTTATTAAAGCACAGACCTGGATACATTGCCTCCATCTCTCCACAGTGCCATATGATGTGAAAGAGATACAGCAATAGGTCATCAGTGATGGGTGTTGTGTAGCAGTAGTTCTGCTTGGGTTTTGGGGGGGATGGTGGGAAGGGCCATGTGCTTAATCCCTCAAGTATCTAAATTTTCTTTCCCTATGGTTATTTCAACAATTTCTAACAGACTTTCATGTCTGTAAATGTCAGTTGATTATTTGTAAGGATATGTTGATATAAATACAAGTCATTGCTAATTTTTATTCAAACCCTTATTTTTCACATGTTCATTATCTATATGAACCATATATCTGTGGCTAATTGGCAGTTCCTGGGGAGGGGACCTGGAAACTAAACTTCTAGAATCAGGGGTCTCTTCCTGCCTCTTTCACCTGTTCCCTTTTTGCCTTGCTGCCTATATTAATTTGGAGAGAGAAGGTTACTGACATTTTCATATTCATGCTTTTGGTATGGCTGTATTAGCTGCCTATAGGAATAAATATCTGAGTAAATATTTTTCCATTTCTCAATATTTTGTAATATCAAAAGATTTATTTTTGTGCTTGCTTCAGCAGTACATATACTAAAATCAGAACTATACGGAGATTATCATGGCACCGGCACAAAGATGACACACAAATTTTTGAATTGTTCCATATTTTGTGTGGTTCTCCGGGGGTTCCACTCTTTCCTTGCTGGGTCGCACTAAGACAGTGGTAGGAGGTCACTCACTCAGGGGGCCCAGTTGGGGCCTGTCCCCTCCCCACAGACAGAGTCCCTTTCTCATTGCCCTCCTGGCATCTCCCCAACTACCATTACAATTCCCAAACCAACTAGGTGATCTCGTATTGGCATTCAGATGCTTATTTTTCACCAGTTAAATTATTTCAATATATAAAAGATTACATAAGAAAATTACCTTTGAAGGCCAACCATGATCTACTTAATCAGACTAGAATTCTTCAGAATGACAAACAAGTGATGTCAGACTTTGTATCTACCAATATATCATGTACTGTGCTTCCCTTAGCCCTGTTTTTGACAGTTTAGCTATAGGAACTATGTCTGGTTAGCAAGTTAGTTTTTAAAGAATGGTACTTTTCTTTTTAACCTCTAAGCTATAATTGGACCTGACTCAAGCAGTAGCATTTCAAAACTCTTTCCTCAGCTGATTATAAGCAACAACATAGGTTCTTTGACTTTGAATTTCCAAGCAAGGAGGAACTGGTATATATTTTCAATGGCCTGCCATGTCTTAAGTATGTAGTGTCTGCTGCCTGTACAGAACATTCTCATCCTGTCAGGAGTTATACTAAAATGATCACATATATGCTTATGATGCTAATTTAACTATTGAAAGAGTAGTGAATTGTAAGCACATGGCAATAACCATAAAAACAAAAATGGAATGGTTTGTGATATCACTGGACTCTTTTAAGAAATCACTAATAGTAATGTCTTACATGGTATTTTAAAAATCAGTTTCCAGAAAAGTAATTTTATTAAAAATACTATATGTGGCACATTTATTATGACTGTTTTTATGTATATATTTCCTACATGTGTGAGTATTCATTTGGTCATCATTATTTATTACCATTGGAGACATGGTAAATTGCAGTAGTCAATGAAAATAATCCCAGTAACAAGCAAATCACAAAACATTATCATATGTATAGTTTAAAACCTCCAATTACTTGCTGAAAATTGTTATATCCCAATATTGTGAAATCCAAAGACCTTTTATCGTGCTCATTCACTTGAAACTGTTCAGGTGCCTTGAAGAATCTTACTTGTCACGTCATAATGTTTAACCATCACATCATAGTAGCCTTTCAAAATTCAGGAACTCATAAATTAAGGAGCAGTTTACTTTATTTTTTTTTCAGCTATGAAAGTGGCAATGGGGATGCAAAAACAAATCACAGCCAAAAGAGGTCAGATAGATGCCCTTCAAAGCAAGATACAATTTTTGGAAGAGGCAATGACTAATGCGAATAAGGTAAGTCCCTGTCCCCAGGCTGAGGGAAGGCGATGTGTCCCTGTATTAATATGCTACAAAACAGAGTAAGGCAGAGCAGAGATTAAAAAGTACAGCAGAGAAAAGATAAGTTATTTCTGACTGAGACAATGAGGGTAAAGTTCCTGAGAGAACATTTGAGCAGGATCTCAAAAGAACTAGTTAAATGCAGGATGGGCAAAAAAATGTTCTTCGTAGAATCAGGGAGTGATTATATGCAAAACACAATTTAACTATAATGCGTTCTTAAGATTACTGTGCAATACAAAAGTGTAAAATAAAAACCACAGGGCTCACAGAAACAATGGGATGAGTAGCACCACACTAACACATTTTGTCAGCAACACACACAAAAATAGAAACAATAAAAATGGTAGCACAGTTTATACATGTTCAGTGGTTCAGTAATACATAAATACTAAAGCCAATATGAATATGGCCCCTTACCTTAAAAAAAATACCAGAAGTTTCCTTGTGGAAGTGTGCATCAAAGGGCTGCAGCTTGTGAGTCACTACGAAGGGGTGGAAGGTAGGTTTAACACTGCACATGCTTGGATGTGGCTCATAACACGAGGTAAACTGAGGTGGCTGACAGTTAGTTGTTTGAACAGTGTGTATATGCTTTTTCTATATTCCTTTGCAGCTTCATTTAGCTGGATGTGGTTTCTCATAAGTGAAACTTTGCATAAATAAATGTGACATTTGTGTTATGCTTAAATGTTTCCTTATAATAATTTTGGAACAAATTTGCATTTTTAACAGAAGAGTTAGAACTTACTGTAGTGGAGATGAGAACATAAAGAGCATAAGTAGAAAGTAATAAGTATAACTCAAGTGATTGCTTTTTCCCCACCCAAAATGAACTGCTAAAGTACTTTTTTAGAATGAGGCTAAATATTAACAAATATGTATATATTTCTTTGTTCTTTACCAATTTTTCTTTTCCTCCTGTTTTCTTACCCTAAATCTTTTCTTTCTTCATCTGTTATTTGCCTGTTTGGAGCCTAAAACAGTGCTTACGCTCACCCTCCCTGAGGGTGTGTAGGGAATTGAGGTGCTGCCTGTCCCACTACAGGAAAGTATTCATCAAAGCTGAATGACATTCCCGTCAAAGGCAAGGAGGCAGTTTGGAAAATAAATCCCCCTCTCCTTCTGAAACCTCTTCTGCCTAACTAATGAGAAAAGGAAAAATTATTTGCATCCAAAATGTATATTGCAGTGGTGATACCATCTACCTTGTTTACATTAAACATTTTCTCTATGAAAAACATATTTAAAGAAATATAGATTCAATAAGTTGAGGTGTGTGTGTTAATAACTTGGCTACTATGTATTTTTTGTCTATTCCATGATGTCTTTTTAAAGGTTTGAACTAATTTTAATGAAATTTTGTTGAATACCAAAGACTCTCCATAAGTGTATCAGCAAGCTCATTCTCAGCACTGGACCACAAATGACTTGAGGGCAGACACTGTGTGTTCCATTTCTTTTTATGTGATTTGTGAAATGAATATTTATCCTTGAAACAAAATAAAAACCCATAAGCTTTCAAATAAATGCATCTTCTTTATACCTCTGTCATTTTAAACAAGTTTCAGTAAAATTTGATGTGATTACTCAATCACAAGTCACCACCGTACACTGTTTCTTTTTATGACAGCATAATTATTACATATTTTGCACATTTTATCAAGGACTTATTAAGCATAGAAAAAAATAATAATACTAGTATTGATAAAATGAGAGAATACGTGGTAACATAATTCTAGCAGCTTTCAACTCCAACTCAGAAGCAGTTAAATATCATATGAATTAAACTCTAGCTCAGGTCTTTATATAACAGTTTTATATTTTCATCATAATTTTTGGTGTTTTTCTGCTGTATAATTGTAGGAAAAGCATTTTCTAAATGAAGAAAAGAATAAATTAAGCCAGGAGTTGAGTACGGTTGTAACAGAGAAAAGCAAGATGGCTGGAGAACTAGAAGTCCTGAGATCTCAGGAACGTCGTTTGAAAGAAAAGGTTGCAAATATGGAAATTGCTCTTGATAAGGTAGTTATTAACAAAACTTATAAAGTGGTCATCTACTAAATAGCTATTAACTAAGTAGAATTGTTCTAGATGAAAGCTCCATGTTGACAAGAACCAAGTCTGTGTTATAGCCCAATCACCCAGCACACTGAAAAAACACATCCTGTAGAGAAGACTCTTCTGACCTTTAAGAATACAGTCATAGAGTGACTAGGTGATCCCCCCTGAAGACACACTTATTGTGGGGCCAGTGCACCAACCACTAGTTACTACATTTCATGGACAAGCTAAATTGGCATTCAAGAGCAATGCTCCTTGCCTTCAAATTCAGGGTGGTGGAATGGGAAGATCCTGAGCTTACCTTTTCTTGTTGACACCGAAACTACAACTACATATAGAACAGCCATCTCCGAGAATGACCTGAAGACTGATAGAATGGATTTTCTACACTTACGGATATAAAGAAAAAGCAACGTTGAAATGGGTAGAAGAAGGGGTGGAGACTAAGTCTAGCCAGGACCTATCTTACCCTCCACTCCCCGTGTACTGACTCACAAGTGGGAGAGATATCACGACCGTGGAGGTCATCCCCGAAGAGCAGGGGTCCAAGCGCTAGCCTGGGGCTCTTGCACTAGGAACAGGAGCCCTGTAACATCTGGCTTTGAAAACAAGCAAGACTTACATCTTGGAGAGCCAGAGGGCTTTAGGAAATCCAACTTGCAGTCTGAGTCCCAGCACAGAGGCAGCAGTTTTAAAAGCACCTACATCATATGAAGATGATACATTGTCTAATTTTTGGGTGTGTGCTGGAGGGACAGATCTGTAGGAACCTTCTCCTGAGTCAGAGGGACTAGCAGGAGCCATTTCCCCCCCTTTCTTCAACCTAGCTGGTCTGACACAGGAAGGCTTCAGTTCTTATACTCTCCATTGGCCCTGCTAACACTGTTCACCCCACCCTGGTGTTTCCTTAAGGACCCACCCAGGCCAGCACCTCTCTAAAATGACTCCTGCTCTGCCACACCCAGTAGGAGGCCTCAGTCAGCATTAGCACACATTAGTGTGTCTGCAACAGCATGGCTGAACCTCACAGCCAGCACACCAAAGGCTTGCCCTGCATACCAGTGAGCCCACAACAGTTGTGGCCAAGCTGCACAGCCAGTGGGCTGGGGACCAGCTTCACCTGCCAGTGTGTCCATAGAAGTTGTGGCCCAGCCACAATAGGAGGCCACACTAGTCCACTCCCTGGAGCACCTGGCTCTAGTGACAAGGTTGATTCTACCACTGGCCCCACGGGACACATTCTAAATAAAGCTGTTTTTTCAAGACCAGGAGATGTAGGTGACCTACCCAATACACAGAAACAAAAAGGCAAAATGAGGAGAAAAAGAATATGTTCCCAACAACAAAAACAGGACAAAAAATCAGAAAAAGAACTAAATGAAACTGAGGTAAGCTGTCTACTAAATAAAGAGTTCAAAGTAATAGTCATAAAGTTGCTCATCAAACTCTGCAGACAAGTGGATAAATGCAGTAAGAACTTCAATGAAGAGATAAAAAGTATTTAAAAAGTACTCATCAGAACTAAAACATAAAACAACTGAAATGAAAAAAA